CGCCGAAGCTCATCATGGCGGGAGTAGGTGCGGGCCGGGCGCCGGCGGAGCCGGAGCGCGAGGCCGGGGCTGGGCGGGCGGCACTGCGGCAGCACTGGGACGCCGGCCCTTTTATAGCCGCCGCGGCCCGGTCCAGCCCCTTGGCAGTGGGGGAGTGGGGAGAAGGGCCCCGCCCTCTCCGCCTCCTCCCCCGCGGCCCGGGCCGACCGGCTCCGCCGCAGTGAGAGGGGCGGGGCAGGGGGAGCAAGGAGTGAAGGGGAATTGACGCAGGGCCAGAGAAGCCCTCCCCCCCCTCGAGGTTGGGGCAGCGGGTAGAGAACTCCCGGAGTGGGCCAGTGGGGACCCCCGGGTCGGAAGAGTCTGCTAGCGTGTTCGGAATAAGAGAGGGGACCTGAAATAGGGAAAGTATAGGGAGACCTGATGGGAATAGGGGCAGGGTTCCTTCGGGATGGAGCAATGGAAGACTGCACCTGCGTGAGAGGGGACACAAGTTTTCCAATTAGGCCTTCAGGATGGGGGTGCAGACTCCGCAGTTGGCCGTATTGAATGGTGGACGCTAAACAGAGAATAGAGGTAGGGGACCACTGACCTAGCTACAATGTTCCCCTAATAGCTAGAGGTGCCACCAGCAGAGGGCTCAAGAAACTCTGCAGCCGGCTCCGGAATAGGGGAGGGGGACCGGGAGTTGGGTAAGAAGGCAAGGCTATCCCTAATGGGGGTGTGGGAGACACTGCAGAGGCTGGAGAATGGGAAACTCGGATGGGGGGGTCACAGTGGTCTCCGAGAAGTCTACAGTGGCCCCAAAGATAGGAGGCTGGAGACTTTGCACCCGGCCCCAGCAAGGAGGACCCTCAGCGAAGGGGCAGAGGGTCCACTGGATATGTGGGAGGAACCTGGGCTGAGTGTGAGGGGCAGAGAACCCAGAGTGAGGGTGCTGCAGGGGACGGGGCATGAAGTTGAGAGAGCCGGCCCCTGTGCAGGACTGGGGGAAGTGACGGCTGTGCTAGAAGTCACCGGAGCCCCGTTCTGCACACTGGGGCCAGCTCTGCAGTTTGCTGGCAGAATGACCTTGGACAAGTTGTGCCTTCCCCACCCTTGGTTTTCCCATCTGTATAGTGAAGAAGGTCTTGCCCCAGGGACGGGCTGTAACTCCAGACCCTCACCTGCCCCATGAGCTTCCACTCTGGAGGGGGGGGAATGTCTCTAGCCGAATTAGAGGAGGGGGGCCCATGTATTGCTTGTGAATATGGCAGCCGCTTTCTCACAACTAGGAAGTTCCTCTTCCTCCCTCCCTCCTCCCCATCTCAGCTTCAACTTGTCATCTCTCTCCCCACCCCCACAACAGACAACCGGGCGCCTCTATAGGGATCCTTCCCGCACCCGGGGAAGTGGTGGGATGTTTTCTGGGCACCAAAGTCTCTCACTTCCAAGATCCCTATAGGGGGTCAGGTAGAAAAAGGGGTCCCTGGAATTTCGGGGCTCTTTCTTGGTGTGGGCTCATGTCAAAGCCTTGAGAGTGGGGGCGGCGCTGCGGCTTGCGCCTCAGCACCAGGGACAGGGCCTGCTCTTTGTTGGGGAGGAAGTGGTTAATCTCTCTTCTGCCTTTACCTTAGGGGGAGGGGAGGGAGGCATGCCAGGTCTCCCTTGCCTGACCCCTGTGCCCTGCAGATGGGAACTGAGGAGGGGCGTGTGAATGATCTGGCAAATTCACGTAGGGGTCCAGGGACCCACCCCTGCACTTTCTGTTAGGGGTCCAGTTCCCTGTTTTCCATGAAGTTCTCCCACACACACCTGGGCTGTCCCCCTCCTCCACCGGGAGCTAAAAGGACCCTCGGGGATGCTGGGAACCCTGCATCAGTGTAAACTCCCCTCCTAGATCTGAGCCTTCCGCAGGCAGTTATCTCAACCCCTATGACATCCAGTTTACTCTGGCTTTTCTTCTAGGGGAATCCCCAGGACAGGGACAAACAGACCCCCCCCCCCCCCCCCCCCC